ACTTCTGCTCAAGCCATGCAGAGGATAGCATTTCTTCCCTGAATAGTAGGACACCAAGCACATCTGTTGCCAAGGACAAATTGAAAATCAAGGAATCAATGAGTTGGTTGGTCTCCGCAGTCCCTACCAGTCAATATACAGCATGCAAGGCTCCCCATGAACTGGCTATAAAGAGAGTGATTCTCGCTTTTGCATCTTTAAGAAAGACATCATATAAAAATGGAAACTATCTAAACAAAAAGCCATGTTGGACACTCGCTGAAGAGAATGAAATTGCCTTTGTTTGCCAACTTTAAAAGTTGTACTCCATATGCTCAGTCTTTAAAGGACCCTGCCGAAAATTGCTTATTCCATGGAAAGAAGAGGATAAAATTAGGAAAACAGAGTTCAAGGGGTCAAGAGGCCCAATTCCATGTTCTTCAGTACACACGTCCCATAATTTCATGCAAATGGCTTGGACAATTCTGCCTTTAGATGGGGAAAATGGCAGAGGTCCAGTAGTCTTGTTTTGTTTTTAAAACTTTGATGGTCCCTAAAAACTGATAGGTTATCACAAAATAAATAAAGAATAGAATTAAATATGGGAAAAAATAGTAATAGGTGATGCGGCTCAGTTCCTTGTTCTTCAGTCCACACGTTGCATAGTTTTAAGTATATTCCTTGGACAATTCTGTTTTTAGGTGGGGAAAATGGCAGAGGTCCAGCAGTCTTTGATTTTTTTAATTTTGTTTTTGCAAATATATGGGTCTTTAATATCTGAAAGGTAAAATAAAGAGGCTCTTAATTTTAGGACAAACTCTCCTCGTCAGCGCTAGCACCTAACGAAACGTTTGTAGAAAATTATGGAGAATATGCATACTGATGTAAGGGTGTAAAGATTTAAAAATAAGTACTGTTTTGCACACTGAAACTATTTGATACCCTTATCTCTGAAGCATTCAGAGTAGAGGAAGGGGGAATTAAGGCAAAAAGTTTACGCGCAGAAAGGCAATGAAATTTAATCGCTGCAAGAGGTAAAAACACTGTCGATGATGCCTGACGATGCAGTGGATCGGCGAGAGCTCAGAGAGATGAAACGAGATAAAATTTATATTAAAAAATTATCACAACGATTGATTCCCATTCAGACTCTTGTGTGTGCTCATTAAAAGACGATAGAAACGTTTTACCAGATCTAATAAGCTATATTTTATTTGAAATGTCTTACCGCACTCAAACTAAGAAGCTCCACACTTATCACCGGGTAAAAAATACGAAAAATAAGTTACAGAGTACCTTCATGATGCACAAGATTGGCAGTCATTTCGTACATTTCGTAGACAAGATGGCTCGTTCTTCACATGCAAAGGATCATTTTAAACAGTTTGGAATATCACTATTACAAGTCAGATGGAAATCTGCTCGTCTTCGTCCGCCATATTGAAAACTTATACTCAATACGCACGCTCTCTGAAGGATACCGCTGGAAATTCCTGACATGACGACATTTTGATAACGTTTAAATGGTGTGTTGCAACAGCGGAAGTACAAAACTGATTAGTTTTAAACATTCTCGAGAAGTAACTGATTGGTATAAATAGCAAGTCAAATTTTGTTATCATGAAGATGTTTACATCGGGAAGTTATAAGGTCTTGTTGGGTTATTGGTTGGTAAATTTGTAAAGGGAGAATGGAAGCCCTGAAAAGGAGAAACGGACTAGAGCTCAAAATATATACCAATAATAAATGGAAATAATATTGACTTCAAAGAGAATGCGTACAAGTCTTGAGCATTGTTCTAGTCTAGCGCGGAATTTACATATGGGATGCAGAAATTTCAGACTTTTTAACCAACTCAAACTCATCCCGTTCTTGTAAAAAATTTCAGAAGTCGCTCAGTAACATGGACAAAAGTTTATGCATGTATACGGAAGTGTTCGCCTTAATTAAACGCATGTGTAGTGGGTTGGTCGGAACCCTGAAACCCATCTTGTCCCACTTGGTTGAGCAACAAACCATAGATTCTTATATATACGAAAACAGACCTTTTATATAGACGTGCCTCGAGCACATATACTAAAATTGGAACGATACAGAGAAGATTAGCATGGCCCCTGCGCAAGGATGACACGCAAATTCGTGAAGCGTTCCAAATTTTTTTTCTTTGCGGCAGAGATATATTAAATAAACTATATGAACTTCAATGCCACTTTTTGCTCCAAATTACAAAATATAATTTTCAAGGCATTACTTCGCTAAACAGACGATTAAATGGCTATAATAACTCGTAAACTAGTATTTTGAATCCAAATCGTCGCTTCTTCCGTGAAAAATTGCAAATTTAGGCCCGAAAATAAAAAAAGAGTGAAAACACGCATAGAGCGACACTCTCGAAAGAGTCCACGATCGCGCTCGAATGCGTGACGCGCACTAACGACCAAACGCACGCGTGGATCACATACGAGGCATTCGATTCGAGTGCCTTTCTACGCGCGGCTCCTATCGTAGCTTTTGACCCTTTTCGGCACAACAACTAAAGAGTTAAGTGCTCCATCAAGGGCCAATTAGTCGCTGTGACAGTTGTACAAGCACCCAAATTTTAGTAAAATGCGTTTACATGTTCCATGTAAACTCATGGATCGCCATCGACGTCAAGCAACCAATTTTCTCTGACTGATGAAAGGAAGGTGTTTTCAAATCCATGCCTTGAAAGCAGTGTTGGAGAAACTGCATAAGTTGTTGCGATGGAAGTACCAGGGGCAAATCTCTCTTCAGTGATTCAGGACGTTCCGTTCAATCGATCGAAGGCTCGATCGCTGAGGCCATCGATAGTACCTTTCAACCATAAAAAAATCGTCGTAGCTCTGATTGCATTCACCTGTGACTTAAGTTGCGACTTGAAATTGAGAATCTGTAGAGGAATACGGCCTTCAGACTCTCGTGAATCGTGTAAGGATTTATGCAATCTGAAATTTATGGAACAACGTATGGACAAATTAAAAAGATTTAAATTATTAGTTAAAAGAAGGAACGAAGAACGATAACCAACAAGAAACTCGAACAGATACATCACATAACCGAGTAAACCACGCGTTCGATTACGATTGTACAAGCTAGCTATTGAGTAATTTCACCAAAACCCTGACATAAACAGACTAAATAACAAAGCGTGCAGAACAATCAATGAAAATTAGGATAGTAATAAACTTACTTCGTGACAAGATTCCAAAGGTAACCTAAAAAGCGAATGAAAAGGGATAGCCAGAAGAACGTCAAGAAATGAAGAGCTAATATTCCTGCAGATTAAAGTAAAGGCGTATTGAAAACCTTATTTCAGACTCAAGTTACGAGTCAAAAATTAAACATTAAACATATTAAAATCAATTTCATCGAGGTTAAAATGTCACGCTATCGCTGTTGCATCGAAATTGTATTGAACGTTTTCGTTGGGTGAAAAATCATCGGATGTTTTAATCAAAATTAGACGTGCACATATTAAAATTTAACCACTATTTTGTGACCACTTTTAACCACGATCAAGGGCCGCAAGCGCCTTTGGTTCCACATGAAAACAGACTAAACGTTGCGTGACAAGAAGTTAGTCACGACCACTGCGGTCAGGCTAATGTTCTCTGTAGAGTGAGCCAATCACATCCACTGAATTAGAAATCTTTGACCAATCACATCCACTGGATACCATTAAGCTGACCAATCACATCAACTCGATTTCAATTAACCAAACGAGTGGATGCGATTGGTCAATTTGAGCTAACAACTACAATAAATCTATAATAGATTGTTCCCTATCTCGTAAGGGAGGATACTAAGTCATTGAAAGAGAGAGAGATCAGCGAAAACTTTGAGCGTTCTAATCTGTATTATAAGATATAATTTATATTTAGAACTTTTTCAGCCAGAAAATATTTGTAGAAGAGACGTACGCGCTCGATTGTTTTCGTTTCTGTCGATTGCCTTTGAGGTTTTTCTTTCGGTTTATAGCTTCAGCTATAGCGAGAATTGCGAAGTTTAGACGTTTCAGCAATGGGGATTTGGTGCTTAACTACACGAAAGAAGCGAACGAGGTGTTCAAGAGGAATTCGGAGCAGCAGGACCAGGTCATTAGCATACTTCCCGAAGAGGTAGGCTTAAACAATTGATAATTATTAGATTAAAATTTCAAAAAGCCAATTGTTAAAGTCCTAACCGGCACGGCTTATCGCTTTTGTTTTGTTTAGTAAAACATCAATTAAGACCGACTGCTTCATTGCGCTCTTAATTATATACTCTGAGGACTTAAACACAAACAAAGCAATTAAAAGTTTAAGACCGATTTGTTCTTACCGATATTGAGGCGGCGAGGCGAAAGTTCAGGTCATATAAATACAAGTCACGTCAAGTTCAGGTCATATTCTACTTCAGGTCGCCTGATAAAGAAAAAAATTGAAAAAACAAGCGAACAGTGAGAAATAGCCCGAACTACTCATGCATAATGGTATTTTCGATCGACGGAAAAAAGTTGGTTTATTTATCTGTAACCTCGTGATATAAGCCTTGTATATTAACCCTGTGCGTATCGAAGCCGCTAAGACGGAATCTTATCTTGTTTTGCGACGATTACAGTAAAATTGAATTGCTTTTGGCTTATAAATTATGGTGATAATAAAACTTAGCGATGTTACAATCAGACGTTAATAAAAACCTATCCTACGCTAAGATACTCGATTAAGAAACGAATTCATATTTAGTTCATAGTTATGACTTAATAAAAAATACTTGTTCATTTAGTGATGAAAGTTTCTTCGTATTCCTTTGGTTTTAGAAAGACTTACCCTGAAGGGTCTTTTATTCCATTGCTCAACTTAACAACCTAATCTTTGTTATCACAGCACTATTACGTTCAGGTCAAAAAACTTGCTATTGAAACTGTTAAGAAGAGAAAAGGGAATGTTCAAAATGAACTTGATGTACAAGGAGAGTACTTGCTCCAGTTTGGAAAATATCGTGGCCAGTCCTTCAGATGGATGCTGGAAAACGCTCCTAGCTACATTGGTTGGTTTGTTGACAACATCCGCAATGAAAAAGTGACCAAATCTCCTATAAGTCAAAACAAAGCTGCCTTAAAGAAGTATGTGGAATCTTTTCAAGAGGGTCGTGATGTTGTGGCCCTGAAGAAAAAGCAGAGGGAGGATAAAGAGCCCAAAAAGCAACACAATTCTCCACAACCAAGCCAAAACTCTGCATCAAAAAAAGTTGTCTCCCCCCTGGCAGCTGGTCTGGCATCTGGGCACATAAGCACCGAAAAATTTTTGCCCTGGGTTGCATCAACTACAGGTGTTGAAAAGTTCAAACCCACCATCCTTGTATCAGTGAGAAAAAGAAAACCGAAGACACCTTCTGCCACTGTGACTTCTACATCTACATGTACTCAAGATGTAGATGATGAAGAGCTTTGTGCTTTTGCTGACCAAATAGAGGATAATTTAGGTAATATTTCAAATTTTAGGTATTACTAACTGTTTCTATTTGAAGATGTGTTCTGAAATAATGTTCTGCATTTTCATTGTAGTCCAACCAACCAGTGAGCCAAATATAAGTCAGCAGCTTACACCAGGTGCATCTCAATCAATACAAGCACCTGAACCAGAAAGCCTGTGCCACTAGTACCAGAAGTAGTTGAAGTGCCTGCGGCTCAGCCAGAGCAATTACTAACAGCTTCAGTAGCCCTCCTCAGCAGTGTTAGGAATCAAGGTACAGGTTTTTGTATCAAATGTTATCAATATTTCACTCTTTTAATGATGAAAATATGTTATTCTTCAGAACATTCCTTACTTCCAGATGGATGGCTTAAGACATTACCTAAAGCTGGCCACCTGTGGGTGTCTCAGGCCTTATTTACAACAAACAATAAGGGAAAGGCAAAGCTGGACTTTAGCAGGTGAACCGACATATTGATTTTTATTTGTTCAATGTAATAAGTGTTAGAGAACAGTTGAATAACTCTATCATTAGCCATCGCAATATTACTATACATATGTTAAAAAATAATATATTTTTTTATTATATGTGACCATTTATTTCTTTTATTATTATTATTTCTTACTATTCTTTACTACTTTTTATTATTGTATATTGATATACTTTATGTTACATACAAGCTTACTATTTTTTGTGAGAAAAATATAGTTCACTTATTTTTACATTGAAGAGTGTTTTTCAGTAAACAAAGAGTACTTAGAGCGTAGGCATTGCAAGAGAAAGGTTATCAGCTGGAGCCCTGAGATTATAAACAACTTGATACTGGCCATCAACTTCAGTTCCCAGTTTTGCTAACCTACCAGTATGCTTGTGATGTCCGAGTTATCAGACTGTTGAGAAACAGGGGCCTTGGCAACAGCTCAACACAATTACAAAAGAAGCTTACTGAAGAGCACAGTGAAAAGTGGCTCCAAAAATCAGCCCAGTATCTGACTGACTGCAAATACTTTGCCAATGCATTCAAAAGTGGGCTCACTGGTCCCCTTTACTTTCAAGAGCCTCCAGAATTTGTACCAGTGCCAAAGTACAAGTGGCTGCTCACAGTGTATGCCCTAGATATCATGGCCAGAATGGACTACGTTAAAGCATCCATCACCTCCATCTAAGGAAGAATATTGAAAATGGACTCTAATTAGAAAATTGTGAGAAAACTTGCAGGAGGTAGTGCTGGTACTGCTTCCTGGGCCACTAATGTTGGAAATGAAAATGGACAAGTGCTCGTGTCAGTGATGACTGTCAATGAAGGAACTGGGTTGGAAAACATGGCAAATGGACCAATGAGAAGATATTCTTTGGCTGGTGTCTCACCTCCCGAGGTCCTTTATGTTGACAGAGATTGTTGTTCCACTGGCAAGGCTAAGAAGCTATTCTCACTCTGGGACAATATTTGGCACTTTATGAGAAGAATTGCTGCTGGATGTAACACAGAGGCACATCCAGTCTATAGTGTGTTTGTCAGTTGTCTATCACAATGCATCTTCCAATAGAGTAAAGAAGATCTGGATTTATTGAAGTCTGCCAAAAGAGGTCACTTGCAGATTCAAGGTGTTGCTGACCCTTCTGATGCAACCATTATTGAAAAGATTACACGGAGAGAATTGGCTCGACATTGCTGTGGGAGAAGTAGGGGAATTGTTGACACTACTACAATGATTTACGATCTATTAATGACATTTACTTTGTCAGGGATGTGATACTACAGGAGTACCTTTGCTTGACAAGACCCGTGTATGGGAAATATGGGACAACCAAAAGCACCACATTCCATGCATCCAGGACCCTGAGGGGGTGCAACTGTATACAAAAACTGGGGTCTTGACTGAAGGTGGTGTCCAACTTCCAACTTATAGATGTGCAAGAGGTTCAACATCTTTGGAGTCATTCCACCTGCATATTAATAAATTCATACCAGGTAACAATATCTGTGTAAAAACTTAACATGTCCCAAATACTACAGTCTATAACACTGTTTTCATTTATTTTAGGTACTTCAGCAAGTGACATTCATTTTCAAGCTGACTTGTTAGATGGCCTGATGAGGTGGAATTCTGATCATGCTTCTGCTGCAGTTTCAAGTACTGAATTAGGACCAGAAAGCTACAGTGGATTATTAATACATGCTGTGAATGAGCTAAGTGAAGATGTCCTTGGTAAGAAAATCAAGCCCAATGTTCAGAATATTGGAATCTATACAGGTGAAATGATAGGAGTAGAGTATCTCTTCAATCAGACTGGTGAGATTCTCAAGGACAACACCCTAGAAGATGAAGATATGATGCCACAGGGGGAAGAACCTCTTTCAGATGTTAACCTAGACTAAATAGATGAAGGATTTAATGAAGATGAAGATGAGACAATTGTACCTGCAGAGCAGGTGTTTACTGTGCCTTTGGGTAGTGAAAGAGGTAAGTGTGCATTGTCCACAAAATCTGCCTTTCCCGAATTTTTAACTGAAAATGTCAATTTTCATTTAGACTTAGATGCTGCCATTACTTCTGATGAAGACTCTGCTGAGCTTGTTGGAAGTGATGCAGAGGTAAGTTTTTAGTATTATATTGTAGTACTTTATATAAGGATTCAGAAAGTAAACTCTGAATTATATTTGTCCATAGGACTCTGCTGGGCCTGACAATATTCAGGGATATGGAGAAGTCCAGGCTTTAGCAACATATTTGGTTTCTGTGAGAGAGGGAAATATGGCCTTGTCCAATACACAAGCCAAAGAAATCATCAGACTGTGGAAAAGCCTTCACGAATATGACCAACAACCAACAACATTTGCTCCACGACACTGCACTACACTGGTGAAGGGAAAGTTTAAAGCTCCAAAGAGAAGAAGTACCAATATTGTACCAGGGCTGGGCAGTAGGTGAGCTTCTGTACGGCTAATGTTGTACATATGACACATGACTCTTTTTTCATTTAATATGGTTTTATCTTTCTTTAAGATGTTTTCTAGGCTCCAACAGTGTTCCAGTCCAATGGCCAGATTGTTACAGGTACACAGAGGCAATAATATCTGAACCGTGTAATCTACATTCTGGGCCAGAGAAATTAAAGAAAAAAACAACAAACCATTGGTCTCTTTTGTAAAGACTACAGAGGCATACAAGAACGTGTTATGAACAATAGCATGGTGATGAGAGAGACACAGATTCAGCTACCAGATATAAACCAAACAACACTAAGTCAGTGGTATATCAAGCGACAAAAGAAGAAAGAACATGAAATACTTAAACAGGAACTACCTCAACGAACTGAACCAGCAGCATCAAAGACACCTTTACCAGCAGCCACACCACTGCCTCCGTCTCTGCCACAAGTCAACTATCCTGTGCCCTTTCAATTTGTATTATCAACCAATGCCACAGGGACGGCCATTCTCAGAGGTCAAACTTCAAAAGCTTGCCGACCGATGCCAATTCTTCCAGCTCCTGTTCCTTTCTTACAGCCACCAACAGTAGTAAGAAGATTTCCCCCTGTTCCATTACAATCCAAAATACAAAGACAACACCATCAGCCTCAATCTTGGCAACAAAAGTCTCAGTCTCAACCATCACACCCAAAGCAAAAAGATGAAACAAGGACTACTCAGGAACCAAAGACAAGCAGCAGTCGTGAGCGATCCTTGTATAACATGGTTTGCCCCAAGTGTGGAAAGAAGAAAGACCCTGAAAATCATAAACAATACTTTGGAAACTGGTATTGTAACACAATGACCAAGAACTTTGAGACATGGAGGGAAAACCTTAAAAAGAACAAAGGATATAAAAAGAAGAAGACAGATTGACTTATATAATTTTTGTTTATTTGTTTATTTATTTTAACTTTTTTTCCGTTCAAGCTTGCTTGAACAACGCCGAGTGCTGGGCAGTGGTCAATTAGCCTGGCTCCCTCAGTGAGCAACTAGCTCCTGAGGATTGGGCAATGGTTCCCTTGGTGGAGGAAATGCTATCATAAATTCAAATTTTCAAACTTTTAATGCTGCCTAGCGCAATTGCTAGAAGGTCCCAAGCCCTTAATAAAGCAGAGGGAAAGTTTGTTACATTTTTTCATTTGTTTTTGTTTTATACTTTTCAACAGCTTCCCATAAAGGAATTTTCACTTTATTATGTATATTTGCATTGATTTTAGCCTGCTAAACGTGATTTCCGTATTCTTCTCTTTGCTGACTACCTGTACTTCTATATAGGAATCCCCTTTTGCTGCGGGATCCAAACAGAGAAGAATGGGCACCTTCCTCAACCAAGGAAGGCACCAATTCTTCTCTGTTGGGATCTCAGTAGAAAGAATTGACCAATGACATCTGCTCGTTTGGTTATTTCAAATCTACCATACCACTATGCTAAGTAACCAATTTTTCCTGACTGATGAAAGGAAAACTTCCTCTTGAATTCATTCCTTAAAAGTAGAGTTTGAGGAAGTCGACAAGTTGTTGTGATGGGAGTTTGGAGATTTGAGAAATCTCCAGTGATTCAGGGCTTCCCGGCTCAATTGCTAAATAGGTAATTTAGTGTTAACAACTAAGTTGAAAACGTAAATTGACCACCGTAAAGAGTTTAAAGGCTAAATTGCTAAATAGTAAAGCAGGATGAAATTTTGGAGGATTCTCTCATCCTTTCTCATTTATTTGCTTAATACACTTTTCAACAGCTTCCATTGGACGTATTTTCACATAAAAATAACTTGATTTGCTTTTTTCACGCTTTGCGCGTGACCTGTGCCATGGGGACCTCAAGAGAGGTATTAACAGAGAAGAATGGGCGCCTTCCATGGTCGTGCCGGTGTCACAGCGGATTTGGACCCCCCCGCGGATTTGTACCCCCGGTCCATATCTGCTAGCGGATTTGGACCCCCCCGGTCCAAATCCGCTAGCGGATATGGACCCCCCTTCGCAGATTTGGACCCCCCTACCAAACTTTCCTTTTAAGCATCCTTTGTATCATATTTGGTAACTAATTCTATTTGCAAGCTTTTTGTCGATGTTCTTTTCAATCGCAACACAACATTCCTCAATAAAGGTAAAAGAAAAAAACAGTCATTTCGTTCCAATTCTACCGCATTATTTTAGCGAGTCGTACAGTAAACGTAAGAATCAGATGTGAACAAACTACTGCATTCGAACTATTGAAATTGTTACGATAAATCCTTGCTTCTTCTGATGCGAATCAACATTGATACGAAACGTCATAACAATAGTGGAGACTATTGCGTCCAGTCAGAAAAATAACTCAGTCTGATTTTCTAAAATAATAACAATAAACAGTTTCTGAACAAGAACGAAGAAACTACTCCTACTACAAGTCGTTCGTAAAGCCTATGATAAGTAAAAATGTTTCTATTCTGAACTATTGGAACTCTCAGCTTATTTTCAGATGCAAATCAACATTAATCAACATTAATGTCAACGTCTTAACAAAAATGGAGACTATTACATCGAACTCAATCTTATTTTCTAATTTTAATGATTATTAACTGTTGAGGGATCCAAAATAACACCTTAACAATTACGAAGACGTCAGAGTCTGGCGATCTGCAGACAATGCAGAGTCACTCGCCCTCCGGGGTAGTCTTAAACATGTGAAACCATTCCTCGCACAACTCGCACAGAACCATGTCGTCCCAACACTCGGGCATTGAATAATGACAAAATAAATTAGTGTCACAAGTTTGTCTCCTATTGAATCTAGTGGTGTTCGACTATCGCGGAAAAGGTTCAAAAACGACCTCTCTCCAGACATCAAATTAACTCTTGTGCATTTTCCCTTGGTCAAAAGAAACATCCGACGGGATGCCAGTTCGTATGCATTAACGATACGCATGTTTTGAATGAAAAACATACTTTAGTACGCACTGGAACGTAAAGTATCATCCATTTTTACTAGAACGTTGAGGACGATGTTTTCACTCAGTTTTGTTGGGGGTCCAAATCCGCGGAGGGGGTCCAAATCTGCTAGCGTATTTGGACCGGGGGGGTCCATATCCGCTAGCGGATTTGGACCGGGGGGTCCGTATCTGCTAGCGGATTTGGACCGGGGGGTCCAAATCTAGGGGGGTCCAAATCCGCTGGGACACCGGTCGTGACTAACTTCTTGTCACGCAACTTTTAGTCTGTTTTCATGTGGAACCAAAGGCGCTTGCGGCCCTTGATCGTGGTTAAAAGTGGTCAAAAAATAGTGGTTAAATTTTAATATGTGCACGTCTAATTTTGATTAAAACATCCAATGATTTTTCACCCAACGAAAACGTTCAATACAATTTCGATGCGACAGCGATAGCGTGACATTTTCACCTCGATGAAATTGATTTTAATATGTTTAATGTTTGATTTTTGAATCGTAACTTGAGTCTGAAATAAGGTTATCAATACGCCTTTACTTTAATCTGTTAGAATATTAGCTCTCCATTTCTTGACGTTCTTCTGACTGTCCCTTTTCATTCGCTTTTTAGATTACCTATGGAATCTTGTCATGAGGTAAGTTTATTACTATCCCCATTTTCATTGATTTTTCTGCACGCTTTGTTATTTAGACTGTTTATGTCAGGGTTTTGGTGAAATTACTCAATAGCTAGCTTGTACAATCGTTATCGAATCCGTGGTTTACTCGGTTATGTGATGTATCTGTTCGAGTTTCTTGTTAGTTATCGTTCTTCGTTCCTTCTTTTAACTAATGATTTAAATCTTTTTAATTTGTCCATACGTTGTTCCATAAATTTCAGATTGCATAAATCCTTAAACGATTCACGAGAGTCCGAAGTTTGTATTCCTCTACAGATTCTCAATTTCAAGTCGCAACTAAAGTCACAGGTGAATGCAATCAGAGCTACGACGATTTTTTTACAGTTGAAAGGTACTATCGATGGCCTCAGCGATCGCGCCTTCGATCGATTGAACGGAACGTCCTGAATCACTGAAGAGAGATTTGCCCCTGGTACTTTCATCGCAACAACTTTTGCAGTTCCTCCAACACTCCTTTTAAGGCAGGGTTTGAAAACACCTCCCTTTCATCAGTCAGCGAAAATTGGTTACTTGACGTCGATGGCGATCCATGAATTTACATGGAACATGTAAACGCATTTTCCTAGAATTTGGGTGCTTCTACAACTGTCACAGCGAACAACTGGCCCTTGATGGAGCACTTAACTCTTTAGTTGTTGTGCCGAAAAGGGTCAAAAGCGACGATAGGAGCCGCGCGTAGAGAGGCACTCGAATCGAATGCCTCGTATGTGATCCACGCGTGCGTTTGGTCGTTAGCGCGCGCCACGCATTCGAGCGCGATCGTGGACTCTTTCGAGAGCGTCGCTCTATGCGTGCTTTCACTCTTTTTTTACATTTTCGGCCTAAATTTGCAATTTTTCACGGAAGAAGCGACGATTTGGATTCAAAATACTAGTTTACGAGTTATTACAGCCATTCAATCGTCTGTTTAGCGAAGTAATGCCTTGAAAATTATATTTTGTAATTTGGAGCAAAAAGCGGCATTGAAGTTCATATAGTTTATTTAACATATCTCTGCCGCAAAGAAGAAAAAATTTGGAACGCTTCACGAATTTGCGTGTCATCCTTGCGCAGGGGCCATGCTAATCTTCTCTGTATCGTTCCAATTTTAGTATATGTGCTGCCGTTAAGCGAGCACGTCTATGGAGAAGGTCTGTTTTCGTATATATAAGAATCTATTGTTTGTTGCTCAACCAAGTGGGACAAGATCAAAGTTGACCTCTAGGAACTTTCAGGGTTCCGACCAACCCACTACGCATGCGTTTAATTAAGGCGAACACTTCCGTATACATGCACAAACTTTTGTCCATGTTACTGAGCGACTTCTGAAATTTTTCTGCATTTTTTCTGAATTTTTTTACAAGAACGTGATGAGTTTGAGTTGGTTAAAAAGTCTGATATTTCTGCATCCCATATGTAAATTCCGCGCTAGACTAGAACAATGCTCAAGATTAGTACGCATTCTCTTTGAAGTCAATATTATTTCCATTTATTATTGGTATATATTTTGAGCTCTAGTCCGTTTCTCCTTTCCAGGGCTTCCATTCTCTCTTTACAAATTTACCAACCGATAACCCAATAAGACCTTATAACTTCCCGATGTAAACACCTTCATGATAACAAAATTTGACTTGCTATTTATACCAATCAGTTACTTCTCGAGAATGTTTAAAACTAATCAGTTTTGT